TCCGAATTGGAGAGAAAATCCTTAGAGTATTACAAATAGCTAGATTAATGTTCGTAAACTCTCACACCGGGAAACTGGGTGCACATATAAGTATAGGGAATTTTGAATAGTATGTGATTTTCATAAATCAACCTCTAAGGCGCATTATTCACATACCAGTTTACCCCCTGCCTTCCTTGTAGCTTCTGCATGGAATTTTACTGATCGCTCGGGATTTGTTACAATCCCAGAGATTTTCCAGTAAGAGCGTTGTTCTAGTTCAAACCCCTACTAGTAGCTAAGGCAACTCTTCCTCTGCTCGCAGTAAACTAAGAAAAGTGAGGAAATAAAATATATTTGTCCTGCATATGCATAGGAACAATGCTATAATTGGAAAATCTCTGGTATTGTTATAATTCCAGCGATAATTTAAAAATCCGCGCTGGAGCAAATCGAATCTCGCACGAGCGAAGGTTTTCGTTCAATTAAGAATTTGTGATGGATAGTTTTGCACCAGATATGCGACTTGATGTAACGCGGTAATGCTCAGGAAAATTTGTTGCATATTTTCGCAGCCGAAGCTTAGTGAAGCTTGTTGCAACAAATCTAGACTGTCATATATATTGTTTAATTGGTTACCGCTACTGGCGCTTTTATCATTGGATACCCATGCCCTGATTTCGACGTGCTTTGGTACTCAATAGAACTGACAGTAAGAGGGAACTTTGTAGGATTATTTAGCATTACCACTACAAATCATCTATACAAATTGCCGTGATCGACGTCCTTCGACAAGCCATGTGGCTTACAATGATTGCATGATTAGTGAAGGCGATTATGATAATTGTCAGTGGCCTGGCTATTTAAATACAAAACGTCACCCATTAGCTCTCTATAGCTTTGAACATACCCCCGTACATGTCAGATGTTGACGTGCTACTCCTAAAAGAACGAGACTATAGAGACGAGACCATAGGCACCAGGTGAGGTCAATATCAATGCATCATTGTCCGTTTATACTAAGCCACCACGCAGTCAGTTTGGGTTCAGAATTGTACTGGCAATCTTGTGAAATGCCCTATCGCGCCCAGAAACCTCTCTATTTAAATCGAAGCATCCCCTTTAAATAATATGTAATCTAAAATTAAATAATTCTCATATTTTTCTATTAAATTTAACATTTGAATTATGAATATACTGAATTAGGACAATCTATTTGACTACTCCTGTTACCAATTTGTTTATCCCCGCACTCCCAATTTTTCAGGGGTTCCATTTTTCTATGCTCTACTTGCCGCAAAATTGGCTAGGAAATTAGTCTACATCTTTTCCTCTGATATGCTTCACCGTTACCCGAGCCTGAGAATACAGCCCAAACGTCTACAGGTTTCCGAATGAATCACAGCAGGCTGAACGAATAACAGTTGATTGCCACAAGGGATCATGACCTGATAATCGCAATGCAGAAAAAATGATTTGCTGCCGAGTGTTGGCTAAGTATATGAAGTCCAATTGTTTTTCTTCCTTGAAGGGGGAATTCTTGGTGATTCACTACTCTTGAAAGGCAACTTTTTGCAGATGGTATCCTGTACTCAGCCATTAGCCTCATTGGAATCTTCTGGGCTGGTTCCACTCAAAGAGGTAATATCATCATGTTGTTTAATTTAGTCATTTCCCGTATCTGCATATCTGATTCTCAAACGAGAATGAGATTTTAAGGTTATGATACGTCTTATATACAAACCCTGACGAAAAGGAAGGGGCCAGAACACCCCCCTCTAACCTTATTTGCCACTAGTTATATTTCGCTTGAGAGAACTCTTAGTGAAAGCAAGAGAATTAATTTTACTTCAGAGATGCCCAATGCCCAGGTACACAGATAATATTGTTCAAGAATGAGAAAACTCATTAGCACGCAAAGAGATGTTGTTGAACCCAAAGCTCATAAAGATAGCCATGCTGCAGGTCGAGAATGTTCAGTATTTTCTCGTACTCAACAAAAAAAAGTAAAAAGTGGACTAATTGTAGCCAGCGGTCAAATTTTTCGACGGTGCAGAATTCTACCAAGGAAAACATTAACCGATCAATTGATAATAGTGGCGAGCTTGCTGGTGTCCGTATTAGTGAAGTAGGTACTGTATCTATAAAGAAAGCTGTTGCTGCTGCACCAATCTCTGGAATTGACGTAGAATTTTCCTTATTTTGAGATGATATCGTTTACCATTGAGTTGTGGAAGAAGTGTACAAGCGCCAGATTCCAATAATTGCCTATTCCCCTTTGAATAGAGAAACTTTAACCGATCATGCTGCTGAACATCTTGATTTCTTGAAGACCTTTCACTCAAAAAAATTCAAGGCTATGACCCATACACCCACCGAAGTTCTGACGCCTTCAAAGAAATAAGAGTCGCTTGAACTCTTTATACTCGTCCACCAAGTCCAAGAATTTAACCTTGGAAGCTTTGTCATTGAGCTATGTTCAAAGTGTATCAGGCCCTAAGGACTTCGAAGGAATCCCGAGGTCATTAATATTATCCCAGTGTCATCCGGATCTGCCAAAGAAAATGTTGACAAGAACTTTGGCAGTCCCGTCCAATTACCAAGAGTAGATGTTGAAGCTCTTCCTGAGATTCTCATGGGACGCCATATTTCCGGCGGTAGATGCTTCCCCGAAGCTGCTGCTTGGTAGAAAGTTCAAATTTTTATGGTTTACTCTGTATTCACCTTATAATACGTTCTCCTTGTTAAATATATTTGTCATATGAATAAGTATATATATGATGAAATGTTCAATCTCAACTTGGCTCAATTGAAAGCTTTTGAGGTGTTGGGCTGATATAATTGGGGCACTAAAAAATTTCCAATGTTACCCCAGACTTGTTAAAAGCTCTTCTATTGAAATATACGTAAAAGCCATTATTTGTACTTGTTGGTTATCGATTTAAGAAGAGTTGATAACTTAAGCACCAGCCCAAACAACATACTCAAAACGAATTTGGGGAAGAAAGTATGAGCTATCCAAACTGTAGTCGATCCAGCACCTCTATAATGGTGAACCACACCCAACTTAGAATGTTCAAAGTCTTTGATAACCTTCCTAGCATAGACATGGGAGTCCATGCCTGTCTTCGTAAGTTCAGAGTAGGCTTTCTTTACCTCTTCCAATCCCTCTTCATCGTAAAGCACAGATTTCAAATCAATTCCGCTCATTGCAGTTCTGACACCTCCTGTAACAAAGTTCACCACCTTAACACCAAATGGAGCCATTTCAAACGCCATCCCCGAAGCATATGACTGAATTGCAGCCTTTGAACTCGCATAAACTCCTAGGAACATAGTTTCTAGGATACCTTGAACAGAGCCAGTGAACCCAATGGTACCTTTTGTTTTTATCACAAACGGAGCTAATTCTCTGGTAACTCTTATATGACCAAAAACATTCACCTCAAAGCACCTGAAGACTTCGTCGTCAGACACTTCGACAGCTGCTGCGGCACAGCTTTGACCAGCATTATTCAAAAGATACTTGATGGCTCCGTCGTATTCGGTTTCAATCAACTTCTTAAGTTTCTCAACCGATTCAGGGGAAGTGATGTCCAACTCTACAGTTGTGACGTTGTACTTTTTCAACTCTTCCATAGAGGAAAGTCTTCTGGCACCAGCTATGACATTATAACCTTTTAGGGCAAATTCCCGAGCTACTGCCAACCCAATTCCCGAAGAGGCTCCGGTAACAACTACGGTTTTACTATCAGACATTATGATCGATCTTACTTATATGGAAAGAATTCAGATACTGGAAACACATTTGCCACCAGCTTTCCTTGTGTGCAGTCAGTCTTACATTTTGGATACGCACGTTTCCTCTGAGCTCCTGATTTTTTGGAAGTCGTTCTTCTACCATCGTGTGGAGTTCTTCGGATAGAAGTATTGCTTAGATCCAGGGAAAACATCTATACCTCTACTTGAAAAGATATACTAACTAGCAGTGAGCTATCTGTATCATTGTATCCAACATTAAGTGCAGTAGTCACACAAATATAGCCCAGCTCACAAGTTTTTTTGGTTTGGAATATCTCAAGATAAAGATGGTCTTATTCAGAAAAACAAAGTAACTGCAGTCGAGTTGAATGAAACAATAGAAAACCTCTTGTCCTACACCTTTTGTGATGATCCTATTGGACTGGAATTGGCTCTTTAATGCACAACTCTGCCTATATTTATATTGTTCATCTTAACTGGTAATGTCAGACAGAAGTTGTGAGCTCCTTAGTGTGTTAAACTTTGTGCACTTGCCTGTATGTTAGCGTCAAGTCAATCTCTTAAAAAGCTTAACTCTGCAGCTATTTTTACTGCGTGTTTCTATGCCATACAATTTTACCTACGTGCTTGTATCATATTTTTAAATCCACCTTTTTCTCCACCGCCTAGCATAACTAATGTTATCCCCTCAAGGACCTTCGAAGCTGACATTAGAGCAAATGGTAAGTAAATAAAAACCTTAGGAGAGGGCGCAATTTAGATGATTTGGTAAATGGGATTTGCCTCTGTTCAAACACTTAGATGAAATAATAAATGGCAATTTTCCCAATCTCTCCAAGATTCTCATAAACTCTAAACATCTGTTCCTTTACGGGGACTTAAGGCCCCCAAAATTATTCAGACTGTGACCATATTTACTAGTAATTTTGTCTTTAGGTGGCTTTGTAGCACGCACATTAGGATTAAGGCGGGGATTTAACAATCGAGTAGTGGAAAAAATTCGGCTGAAGACAAAAATAATAGTATTCCAACAAAAGTGAAAGATCAAAAACCAAATGAGTTAGCTGGTAAAATATCTAAAACAGGAAGCATAGCCTGAAACTAGAAACTTTTCATCAATGGTGTGCTATAAATGGTATTGTGGTGACATCATTAAGCTTTGTGCAAATTAAAAAGACTTATCAATATCTCCATTAGGTTGTATTCTAGGGTTGAAAGCGGAATTCCTTAGCTAAACTAGTGTTTTCGCATTGATTCTTTTTCAAAAATAAAACTATTCCAAAAAAGAAACGCATGAACCCACCCTTGCCGCTGGCTGTAGAAGGTTTCTTGTTCCAAAAAGGTAACTTGGGGACGAGTTACTTCTTTAGGTAAGATATTTGTATTCCTAGTGCCTCAGTTGGTATACAGTGCATGTAAGTTCTGAAGAAAGATATGCATGAAATATTTTGTTCCCCGATTCGTTCATTTAACTGATATTGACTTCCCCGTTTTCCATCGAAGCATCTCATTGGAGGAAACAAGATGTCTAATATGGTAAAATAATGGTGCCCTTAATAGACATTTGGCACTTTTGAGGAGAGCCGTTATTTAACCACATAATTAAAGTTTTTTCTTCTTTTACAAACTATTGCAAGGCGCCAGTTTTCAGAAATAAAGATCCCTTTGAAGCTGAAAATCTCCTCAACGAGGTAGTAGAGTTATAAAACCCATTTACAACTCATAATACCAACTCTCAAAGGGGATATAAACGTATGTTTTTCAACTATATCAAAAACCTGTCTAATAAAGTTTGATATTCTACTAATGAGGTAATTGAAAAAAGCTTAACCTCTTCGACTTAGAAACTAAGTCCACGTTATAAAGAGACAGGAGTTCGGAATAAACTGCAACAACACAAGATGCTCCCCATACGGTTATCTATTTGGTCTTTAAGTCTCCCGCTTGTTCTTGGATATACAGGATGTAGTCCTCCATCAACTGCGAGTGGACTTATTGTTGATTACTATGATAAGGTGGCCGAGCATGCATCAGACTTTTCTTATCTTAATACCATAGATGCAATGTCTCCAAATGATACCAAGTACGGAGTTACCGATATTGATTTTACTTCTAATATGAAAACTGACAGTAACCCTTATTACCAAGATATTTATGGTAGAAGTACAAATGTCCACAATTTTGGTTTAAGACTTTCAGGATACTTTCGTGCTCCTAAAGATGGGACTTATATATTCACTTTCCTAATAGCTGACGATTATGTGACCATGACCATGGGTGGGGCTACACAAGACTTAGACTGTTGTATCAAATCCACTGAGCTTTCACTAGATGGGGCAGTCCAGGCTAGTGGAACCAGTGCAGGTGGCTCACTGACAATTTCACTGGTTTCTATGACAGCCGGTAACTTTTATCCAGTGAAGATTATTTACTTCAATCAAGCGTCAAATTGGGCTGGAATGAAACTTCAAGTGACTTATCCCGACGGTACCAATCATACAGATGACATTGCCTGGTACTATTCTGCAGCTGCTGAAGAAGAATTGTGCACCACCACGACCACCACCGATTATTGGACCGGTTCAGATACTGAGTATTTCACAGTAACAGGTTCAGATGGACAGGTCACTGTCACCAAGGAGGTACCAAGAACTACAACAACCACCACCGATTATTGGACCGGTTCAGATACTGAGTATTTCACAGTAACAGGTTCAGATGGACAGGTCACTGTCACCAAGGAGGTACCGGAATCTACCACCTCCGGTACTTTGTCAGACCTGTCTATCCGCTGGGTGAATTCAACTAGTCCAGCACCTTCTAGTCCAGCACCTTCTAGTCCAGCACCTTCTAGTCCAGCACCTTCTAGTCCAGCACCTTCTAGTCCAGCACCTTCTAGTCCAGCACCTTCTAGTCCAGCACCTTCTAGTCCAGCACCTTCTAGTCCAGCACCACCTACACTACCATCTTTGGGAAGTGTAGATACTATTACCACCCCATGGACT